CACATGAGTACATAAAAGAACACAAGGAGTCCTCTTTAGGAAATAAACACAACACTTTAAAAAAATAAAATTGTGAATTAGAGCTTATTTGATTTACATTTAAAGGATAGATTGGCTGGGTAAAGTTAAGCTACTTGGATCACAAAACCCAGCCGACATGTCAGAGGCACACTGGCAGGTTAACCTAGATTCAGTGTACAAATAAGTGTCAATCCCCTTATAGGTTCCTTCGAGGAATCACATTACATACCTCTTCCAGTGCTTCAAATCACCGGGGAATGATCATTTTCGCTCCAGTACCATTACAGTGTACCACTTCCTATAACAATAATGGGTGTCAGGTACTGTTTGGACTAGACAAGATTAAGTTATCACCCCCCTGCTGTGTGTTAATTTATTGCTTCAGACATTTTCATATCTGATCCATTTTCACCCACTCTGTTGCTGTTCCACAAAGTTCTCAGCTTCTGCCAGTCTCGGTATCATTTGAGCTGAGAATACCTGGCACCGTGAAATGGCTTTCCTCTCAGTGCATGGCTCAGGTATGATCCTTAGAGAGAGCAGCTGTGTGCTCCCCATAGAACGGGGGAATAGAAATGCGGTACAAACACAGCAAAGCAATATGCTTAGGTGTGACACAAAAACTCAAAATATTAGCTTTTTAGTAAACAAGAAAGGAAATTGCGATTCTATCTGAGATCCCAGTGCTAGACATCTTTAGGTAATAGTGTTATTTCTTGAAGGAAATACAGGGTCACAGCCACACAGCAGCGACATCAAAAACGTTATTTTTTTTGTCCCCTGGTTTTGTTTAGTGATTATGTAGAACCTGCTGAAAAGGTGTTTATTTCTGTTTGTAAATTGAATGCACTGGGTGTTTCTTTCAGCTTTGCCCCAGGCTCTGTTGGATATGCTGATGGAGTTGGAAGCAGAGTCAGGCACGAGAGAGAAAGAGGAACGCAGGCAGAAAAGAACTCAAGTAGAAAACAAAGCTGTATTTTTGTCATTTCATACCTCTCCAAAGTCCCACTACGTGAGGCGAAAAAGTGAATTTAATATACAACGTTAAATGGGGCAGGTGATGTAAAAAGAAATGTGGGGGAAATAAAGGAATACTGTGCATTAGTCACTTTCTACAGCTGCTGCTTAGGATACCATTGTTTTGTGAATCTCCTGGGTGGCTGCACAGCATGGAATACATTCTGAATTTCCAAGTGTATTGTTGCATTGACATTGTCTGGATGTAGGCCTTAGGCTAAGGTCTAAATGATATTTTTCTTCCCCCAAATATTTTATGATTTTGAGGGATTAGATTAACCCCTGCACCTTTGTGTGTGTGTGTGTGTGTGTGTGTGTGTGTGTGTGTAGCAAATGAAGCCCCTATTCAGACAACACACCCACAGGGAATGCACAGAGGGGCCTTCAATGAAGTTTAATGCTGGCCGATTCAAACAAAAGGAGATGGTTCTTAATGCAGCACATGGTTCTACTATGGAATCTGCTACCACAAGGAGGAGTGACGGCCACCAGCCTGGGCAGTTTTAAAAAGGGATTAGACAAACTCATGGAGAAGAAGGCTGACAGTAGCTACTAGTAAGGATGTCTATGCTACCTTGAGTATCAGTGGCATCATGCCTCTGAATTACCATTTATCATGAGCAGAAGTTTGCTGCTTTGCTCATGTCCTGCTCATGGGCTTCCCATAGGTAGGGTTGCCATGTGTCCTCCTTTTCAAGGACACATCCTCTTTTTCAGGGGTAAAATTTCTGTCCGGGTGGATTTTTTTTAATTTGCCAAAATGTCTCTGGTTGTTCTTTCTGGATGAGACATAGACATAACTGGTGGTTAAAGACTTGCTTTCCTCTTCTCTTTTCCTGCCCCATCTCTGCAATATATCACAGCTTCTACAGCTGATGTACAGTGGTACCTCAGGTTACATACGCTTCAGGTTACAGACTCCGCTAACCCAGAAATAGTGCTTCAGGTTAAGAACTTTGCTTCAGGATGAGAACAGAAATCGGGCTCCGGCGGCGCAGCGGCAGTGGGAGGCCCCATTAGCTAAAGTGGTGCTTCAGGTTAAGAACAGTTTCAGGTTAAGTACGGACCTCCGGAACGAATTAAGTACTTAACCTGAGGTACCACTGTATAGTGGGGGCATTTAAAATTAGAGTCATCATAGCGTCCTCTTTTATTGCTCTTCAAAATAGTGCAACCCTACCCATAGCCATCTTGAGGGTGGGTCACTGTGGGAGCAGAAGGCGGACCTAGAGGGGCCTTTGGTCTGATGCAGAAGGATCTTCTTATGAACACCTGTATGGAGCCTACACATGTAGAATCATAAAAGCCGCTATGGAGAACATTCACACGGATGAGTTGCTGGTCCCCTCTGACCTGGGTGTTCATATGGTCTAGATACAGAGCCCTCATTCCGACTACGCCCCCATCCCCATCTGTGTATTCAGGAATAGTATTAAGCGTTTGCTGGATACAGCTATAAATGAATTATTTTTTACAGGTTCGAATTGTGATATGTGGAGGGGTACGCCCATTCTAAGACAAGTCTTTGATATTAAGTGTACTTATATTCCTTCATGAGTAATGTGCCAGGCCAGGAAAAGTCACAATTTTCAGGCACGGACAGATATAACGCTGGTCTCCCACACGACTTACACCTAATACTAGCACATTTTGGCACTGATGATCTGTTGGTATAATCCTGCGTAACCTGGGCCAATAGGATAATCGGAACTGGTTGGTTTGCAGGAGGTGGGGCTCAGGGCTAATTGCACATGACATTAAATGCATCATTCTGTTCAATAAGCACTTTTTAAAACTGGAGATAGCTGTTGTGGGTGAAGAGGGGGTGTTTAACCCTTTACTCATTGCCATGATCCCAATGAAAATTTCATCACTACTAGATTATAGTATGAACTTGGAGGAAAACCCTGCTTGAGGCTTTCTTGCAGTCTGTTCAATGACCATCTGGTCCATTTTCCAGTGGCTTAAAGTTCTTATTTTCAGTTTCTGTTTCTAACAGGACAAAGGACTACTTTTCCTGGCGTCATGAGCTATCATTGCTAAGACCAGGTTACTAGGACTGTCCAAACTCTAATGCATCCTCACAGCAATCCAAATAGTTTCCTCATCTTTAGACCTGTTGCTTTCTTGATACACTTGTCCTGATTGTTTGCCCCAAGATTGCACTCTGGAGAATATTATTTGTTAATGGGTAAACATGTACATTTGTCTCATTCCATACTTTCCTGACTATAGTTGTATATAAAGTCTCTCTCTCTCTCTCTCTCTCTCTCTCTCTCTCTCTCTCTCTCCAGTAGGCAAGGTATTGTATGCAGATATAAAGAGATGAGATTATATACTTCCCACAAATAAATTCTCCCATACTATCTTATTGAATTTCTAGTAAGTTGGCAGACTAAAGTGATTTTTAACACTTATCAACTGGATTTATGATTTTGGTGTCATCCACCCTGATTCTGACATTAGGAAATGTTCAACATGAGGGAGTCACGCAATGATTTTTTTAACTACACTATAAAATACTTTTAGTCTCTTTTCTTTTTAAAATCCATAAATGGCTAATTTAATCATAGCCCCAGAGTAGATATTCTAGGTTTCTTGCTCTGCTAATTATTTGGCAGAATTTTGTTGCTTTAAATCATGGTGACATTTGCGTGACTAGTAAATCATAAATTATAGGCTCATGGTCATCAAAGGCCAGATTGAGAGTCTTGGCCGTGTGACAGAAGAAGAGACTCTTTGTTCTTGAATGTTCCTGCTCTTCCTAAGATGTATGTGAAGGAGAACAGGTACAGATAGAAATGAAACCAGAACAGTTGCCTGCGTTGGTTTTCTTCCTCCCATGCATATGTTCTGCTTTTTGTGACTCTCTTACATGAAAACAACCAACAGGAATATTGGTTAGCTCTAAGGGTCTTGATAAATTTGGAAATTAAGCTGGATTAAGTTTAATCACGAATAACATTTCACATTTAAAATGTATTAGATGACTGAAAACATGCATTTTGGCTAAAATGGATCTTCTGAATTAAAAGGGAGGAAACGCAATTGAATCTCTCTCATATTTGGAATATCTTTTTTTACCATAGGTGTCAAACTGGGTGTGGATGAGCATCATCCAAGCAGATGGACATTTTGAGTTGGACTGCATTCCTGTTAAGTTTATTTGGCATAAATTGTTACAGTCTGAGTATAAAGTACCCAGGTCTGGGGACTCAGCTACATTGGCAAAGAAAAAGTGTTTTATATGTGTTGTATATGCATTATAACACTGTGACACCAGATGAAATGCTTTTTTGCTGTGTCTAGATCCAGCCTGGGTGGTTTGTTGAAGCCAACTTACAACCCCATTCCTGTGGAAGACTGTTTATGAGGGTCCACTCATAGCAGCCATTAACGTATATTAAGGGTGATCTCCAGCTCACATTCAGTTAATGCAAGGCTTTAAAGTTGTGCAACAAACTTTCCCTCTATCCTCCCTTTGCACACAACTTCCCCAAATCTTCTCTGGAAGGTTAAGGGAACCCTATAACTAATTTAGAGGGTCCCAGCTCCTGCCAACTAGCCGTTCAAAAGCACGTCAAAGTGCAAGTAGATAAATAGGTACCGCTCCAGCAGGAAGGTAAACGGTGTTTGCCAGAAGCAGCTTAGTCATGCTGGCCACATGACCTGGAAGCTGTACGCCGGCTCCCTTGGCCAATAAAGCGAGATGAGCGCCGCAACCCCAGAGTCGGTCACGACTGGACCTAATGGTCAGGGGTCCCTTTACCTTTACTTACAGAGAGAGGAGAGGAGAAAAGGTTCTGTTGCACAAGGACACAGCTATCCAGCCAAGAGGTTTCACATTACCAGACAGTTGCAATGGCCAATATTGCATATCCCAGTTCTATTCTGGAGCTGAGAGAGAGTGATGGTGGTGGAATCAGAGGTCTGATCTGCTGTGGCTCATGGTTGATCAATAGGTTCCTTGATAGCTCAGTTGGTAGAGCATGAGACTCTGAATCTCGGGGTCATGGGTTCAAGCCCAACATTGAACAAAAGATCCCTGCATTGCTGGAGGTTGGACTAGATGACCCTTGTGGTCCCTTCCAACTCTACAAATCTATGATTTATACCCTGAGGATTCTGTTTTAATGAACCTAGAATCCCTGACAATTGTGGACCATAAATATGGGATCTATTGCCTAGAGCATTATGATTCAATACAAGGTTCATGCTTAACTGCAGAATCATATATTTTGACAGCTGCACAGTTGCTTCTGAGAAACGGTCTGCAGCTATCATAGAGCTTGTCAGTGTGACAGTGCCAGTCCACAGATTAATCTTTTACATATTGTGGATCCTCTACCCATTCATTTTTCTCATGGCAACCAGCTTCTGCATTAATGTGGGAAGTGGTCCATACCAAAGAGGGCAGGAATAGTCTGACAGTGCAACCCTATGCACATCTACTTAGAAGTAAGCCCCTTTGAGTTAGTCCCAGGAATGTGTGTAGGATTGCAGCATGAGTACTGAAAGGAAGATGTCCATGGCTCAATACACTGTGCTGGAAAGAAAATTAAACTAACGGATTTACCTCCTCGTTGAAAGATTCTTGTGACAAATGATGTCAACCCTCATGTCAAATGATGTCAACCCTCAGTTTGCCAAGAAACAAATCAAAAGAGCAAAGCAGACCCAAAAGAATACAAGCAGAAGGTTCAACATGTGAGTGACAGTATTAAAAAACTGCACATCATATGTACTAACAGGCAACTCATTCCCCAAATGTAGATCCTTTCAAGGCCAAAGCAGCACCATCCACACACAACAGAGGAGTATAACAGCTTGGAGAATCCCAAAGTTTACAGAAATTAAAATACACATTATTATTTTTTTAAAATCATGCTAAGTCTGATCCCAAAATAGGTTAAGAATGCTCAGTCAACATGGAATATTGACTGACGGTTGGAGAGAAGGCAATGGAAAACTAGAAGAAGGGGGAATTGAATGGAATATTATGAAAAAAATTAAGACTGTCTGTCTGAAATCCCACACTGCATTTTTTGTTGCCAGTCCCAATTGTGATTTTATTATTCACAAACTACAAAATCCCACTTTGGACAAATCCTAGAAGATATGCAGAAAGGACTGAGTTGGCCTTTTGTACCAAAACAATGCAGAGTCTTGGTATTACAAAAAGACTAGAAATTTACCAACTAAATTTACTATCACAGAAGGAAAACTGTAATAACCATCATCACCATCATCCTCATCGTTGTTGTTGCTCTTGTGTGCTCTATAACTTTTCCAACTTTTACTTTTAGAAGATTGAATGTACAAATCCATCCTACTGTAAAAAAAGAGAGGAGCAGCAAACAGGATCCTTCGAGTGAAAGTAAATGCAATCTCTGATATAATGTAAAATGGTTAACTCACACAAAGAACAACATTAATGACTGTAATCCAATGGTACAGGTCTGTGCTCATGGTCTTTGCAAGCTCTGCTTCATCAGCCAAGCCTGAATGAGTGTCTATTGCAATGCTATAATAGAAACACATCTGGCTGCCTCAGTCCTTCAATATTATTTGGTGCTAGGACTTGTGTATTGACTTACAACTTGCTTCGGCTAACCACCATTGCAGTTTCCTTTCTTAAGCTTCTGTAATACAGGGATCCTTTTCAAACTATCTACAAAACTAAGTCTGAGCCCAAAGTTTCACTTGAGATTTGAAGGGGAAAGGATTTTGAGGGCAAAAATCTGAGGGATGGTTTCAGACTGGGGAGTATTTTAAAAGTTTCAAGAAGATTGTCACTAGCATCAGTGCTGGATTTATGTATAGGCTAAGTAGGCTGAAGCCTAGGGCCTCTAAATCTAGGGGGCCTTGCCAGCCCGCCCGCTCCCCAGCGGGCAGTCTCCCCTCTCCCAAAATTGCAAACCCAATACTTCATACGAGGGCAGGGCAACTTGGGCCTCTAAGTCTAGGGAGCCTCACCAGCCTGCCCTTTCCCCAGTGCCACAGTCTCCCCTCTCCCAAAATTGTAAACCCAAGACTTCATGCAAGGACAGGGCAACTCAGGCCCAGCAACTATGAGACTCAGGGCTAGCCAGTGGGGCCCAATTTGAAGCAGTGGGGTGCAACTTGAATTTTTTTTGTAGGGTCCCAGTTCATAGCCAAAGTCTGCAAAATCTTATAGATATAAATAAAATCCATCTAGATTGCCCTGGTGTGGGGGGGAGGGGGGCTTAGGAGCAGCACGCGGGCCCAATATGGCCCAATTGGTCCAATTGCCTTAAGGTGAGCCCTGATGAGACTGTGCAGGGGTTGAACTGACGAGCCCTGCACCTTCTATGTCCCTGGTGCCACTATTCAGTTTACAGACTCAAGGACTTGTTACAGAAAATAAAGGAGGGGCACTTATTGGAAATGAGTTTTATCACCTCTTCCCCCGCCCCAAACCTCGAGACAATGAGCCCAGCCACCTTTTATTCACAGTCTCATAAGCACTACCCTGCAGCATGGCCATAAACCTGTATGTTCAACAGCTGAAATATACATCCAAATGTAGCAATGGAGATTTATGTTACTGCTTTATGAATGAACACTGTGTTTTATGAATGGACTCTGTATTTTGTAAATTACCTAAGAGCCACCAATAGGGAGCTCTAGAATCTGACAGCTAACCAATTGGGTACTACCAAACAGCGACCCCTATTGGTGAAAGCAGGTAACCAGCAGGGAACGCTTCAGCTCAGTCTTTGCACTGTTGATTGAACACCCCCTGCTGTGCAGATAATGGAGAAAGCTCGTAAATTGTATCCCTTCTGGTATCTTGGCCAACTCTATTACGCTGGTGTAAACCCTGGTGCACCAGAAGCCCAGAATAGCAGCAAATAAAATCCGCTCATACGTCAGCAACTGATAAGACTTGTCAACCAGTTCTTCCAAAGTCTTCCTAAATTATAAAGCTCCAAAATACAGGTCAAAAGAGAGCAGGTCTGGGAAGAGTGAGGCATACAATGGGCACCACCAGTGAAAAGGCCCTACTCCATGTAGCTCCTGCCCTGTCATTTGATAGGGAGCCCACTTGTCTCCAGGTCCAGTACAAAGACCATAAGAAGCGAGAGCAGGGACCTTGAAGTTCCCAACAGCTGTTAATCAAGCAAGCAAGGAAGCAAGCAAGCAAGCAAGCAAGCAAGCAAGCAAGCAAGCAAGCACACAGGTCACCTTTGTCACAATCGGGACGCCTATGTCCTGGCCAGGCCTGCATCCAATCTTGTTTTTATACAATCTTGTTTGTCCTCAGTAACCAAAATTATATTATCAACATATACAAGCAGAAAAGTTGTTTTCCTTCATTTGCAAGGAATCATACAAAACAAAGTAGCACTAATAAAGAAAAGTTCCAGGAGGCAACAGAAAGCAAACTAAAAATGCTTTTGTAGTTCATCAAAACTATCCAGCAATATCAAGTTATAGGAAAACTGGTGCTGTTAACAGTAATCCTTCTAGTTGGTTAATTTATTCGGCAACTTCCATGCACATAATGTGTGATGCTAATTATTTTCCCCAAGAGTTAAATAATAACTAATCAGAGGCAGCTACAGTTGCAAATGGCAACAAAATATCTGTGAAAGGAAGAGGAGCAGGTTTGCCGAAGTGTGTTGCAGGTAGAAATACTGTTTGTAATGAAGTGAGAGCAGTAGTTTACTTGCTCGAATTATCAAATAAGAAAGTTTTGAGAATTTAAATTCTAGATTAAAATTGATTACTTAATTGAGAAGGGGATTGTAACAAAAACACTGGGGCCTAATTTGAATAGCAGAGTGCCTGGTATTTATTTCCACACAGTGGCTGCAGACTAAAGCACTTGTCAGGAGAGCTATGAGATCCAGGTGAGGGTCATACGCCTTGTCAATCCCAACAGGTATATAACAGGAAGACCCTGCACAGGCCACAAACAGTTTACAAAGTTCAGTTATTGCAAAAGTTTTCAGTCTTCATTTTATGCATATTTTCAAAAAATCACCATGGTATTTATCTAAATTATCTTCATCTAAATCTGGCCCTGGCTAGCATTAATGAGTAAGGGCACTTGAAACATTCCAGTAATTCCATGCTCCTGTACTTAACAAAATGCCAGCTTGGTGTAGTGGTTAAGAGCTGTGGGTTTGTAATCTGGTGAACCAGGTTCGCTTCCCCACTCCTCCACATACAGCTGCTGGGTGACCTTGAGCCAGTCATACTTCTCTGAAGTCTCTCAGCCTCACTCACCTCACAGAGTGTTTGTTGTGGGGGAAGAAGGGAAAGGAGATTGTTAGCCACTTTGAGACTCCTTAGGGTAGTGATAAAGCGGGATATCAAATCCAAACTCTTCTTCTTCTTCTCTCCCCCCCCCCCGCCCCACAAAGAATTGCCACCTGCAAACAGGAGAGGGGCCAATTTGCAACAGCTCTGCACTATCTCACCTATGATGCAATGTTTCTCTTGTACAGGAGACATGGCAGTCTCTATATAGAAGAGACTGTATATATATATATAGGTGAGAATTTCCCCCATGGTTTAGAGCATGGGTCCCCAAATGTCTTCCTTTTGGCCTGGGGCACATTTTGAAATCTAAGAAACTGTTGTAGGCACCACAAAATACCCATTTAATAGGTGGGTGCCTAGCACCATGAGTGATGCTCAGAGCACCCCCCCCCCAAAAAAGGCATCACATACCTCCAAGACAAATAAAACAAACAAAAAAATCAAGCAACTCCCCCTTCAATTAAAAGCAAATAGGAATAGGAATTGGGAGGGGCAGGTGGCCTTGAAGGCTGCTTGATTGTTGGCTTCTGTTCACAGCAGAAAAGTGGTTTGTTTGTTTTTTAAGCAAAGACTTTTTTTCAATTGGTACTTATTTTGTTGACACACTTTTTTCCAGTTTGCACATTCATCAAAAGTGAAGGAAGTGGAAATGACTTGTACTTCCCAACATCTACAGTAATCTGCAAGCTGGGGCTCCCAGATCTCTTCCATGGAAAGATCTGGGGATCCCAGATGGCCAGTTGATTGTATGGATCTCATGACATAAGAGATCTGAGAATCGCTCTGGTTGTTGCAGTAAGAGCATGGAAAGTGGCACTGGAAAGGACTTGTGGCTCTGATTTGCCCTCTTCAGTATAATCTGCAATCTGGTTCTGAATTTCACTTCAGAACAGAGGACCAAGGAAAACTACTGAATCTTTATTGGGGCTGTTCTTTTAGCAGAGCAACAGTATCAATCTTAAGGCCACCCAGCCTCTCTGCTGTTTTCACTGAAGCATGTGCTTTCCCTCTAAATGACATTTCAGTATCTACGTTCCCAAGGGGTACACCCTTCCTTACTTCTCTGACACTTGTATGGTAGATGAGGAAAGTGGCTCAATTGCTGGATCAATGGGAGAATTTGCCACACTGATTATTTCTTTTCTGCCGCAGATTGTGGCACCAATGGTCCATTAGGGACAGAGACACAACAACAACACTGATTCACTTTTGCAGGAAACAGGAAGGAAAACATGTTGAAAACAAAAATGGTTCTTTCTCTTAGATTTCAGCTGACATGTTAGCTACCACATATGTAATCACGTGCTCTGACATTAGGTCAGAATAGATTTGTGTGTGTGTGTGCATGTGGCAACTACATTGCATTCTTGAGACATCATTTGAGTTAAACTGCAGCTTCCAAACCAGTCTCAAGGGAAGCCCCACAAAGAGTAGTCCAATTGTCAGGTTACAAACATGGTGGCCAATCTATCCCCACACAAGGAAGGCCATCATTGACACACCAACATAAGCTGATAGAACACACTCCTCACCACAGAAATTACCTGCACCCCCAGCAACAAAGATGAACTACACACCTGTTCTCTGTAGCACTGACATACTTCTTTCAGACATTTTCTGCCACACAGTAAAATAAGTTGGACTTCCATGAAAAAATGGAATGGACTATGGAAGATGGCCAGCATTTGGTTACAGGATTTCCTCCCATCCAATGATATTTCTGGCTTCCTTTCTTGACCTTTAAAGCAGTACAAAGTGAGCTTTTTAGGGAATGTCTGCAGAACTGAATGTAGTCACAAATACCTTTGTTTTGCAGGTGCTAGAATTCTATTTAGCCCAGTACAGTGGTATCTTGAGTTACAAATGCCTCAGGTTACAAACGCTTCAGGTTACAAACTCCACTAACCTGGAAGAATTACATCGAGTTGAGAACTTTGCCCCAGGATGAGAACGGAAATCATGTGCCGGCGACGCAGCGGAAGCAAGAGGCCCTATTAGCGAAAGTACACCTCTAGTTAAGAACAGTTTCAGGTTAAGAACGGACCTCCAGAACGAATAAAGTTCGTAACTAGAGGTACCACTGTATTTTTCTTGGGCCCTAATGAAATCATTCTGTGCTTTGAAAACTGAAGAGAGAAATATGCCTCTTTGGATATTACAGGTAATGGTCAAGTTTTTGTTGTCCACATCCATCAGTTTTACACTATTCTAACTTGATAGGCTGTGCAGATGTTGCTCCTTATTTGCAAAGGAATCCATTCATTATGGTATGTCATGGGAGTGAAGAGAAGGGAGGTGACCTAGTTAAAATGATTGCAGAAATAACATTCCAAATAACACGAAGATATTCAGAAATTTTTGGGGTTGGGAACAATGCTGAACAATGCTAAAGAATAGATAAGTATTTTAAAATCATAACTACTGGAAACATTATTCTTAGCTGTTTTCATTGCAAAATAGTCAACAATGTGGGAATTAAATAATCCACATACCCCTTGGTTATCCCATCCATTCCTTTACCATGTCACAACCCACCCACTCCCGGAATCCAAGCAAAAAAACCCCCATATCCTCAAGAGATATCACTGGGTAAACATGAGAATTCTGTATAATTGAACCTGAGAAACAAAATGTCTGTGTAAATTATATGGCTTGCTACCCACTGTTTTCATTAGAAAATATAAAGAACATTCTCTATCTCTTGTTTCTTCAGTGATTATGTAATTACAATGTTGTCTCTATCTCCAAGGTCTTTCTTTATTCCCTGCTATGTTCCCATGAGTAGAAGAGAAATTTCAGAGACTTGTCAGCTAAGTGGCTTTTGCATAGCAGCTTAATGTAAAGTTAAGGAGTTTCTCAGACCCTTCAGATGACACCCCATTTGGACCCTGCTGCATGGGCTCACAGCAAGGCTTTGTTTATGCAGAACCATGTTCAGCTGCCCGGGTTTCTTTTGCATCAACAGAGAATGACTGTCCAACCTACATTGTGGGTATGCGGATAATAAATAAAGGTGTCTTCTGATGGAGGGCTATCAATGGCTACTTGCCTTGATGGCTGTGCTGCACCTCCATGGAGGCAGCAATACCGGTTGCTGGAATCCACAGATGGGGAGAGTGCTCTTGTGCTTGAATCCTGCTTGCTGGTTCTACAGAGGTCAGCCACTGTGAGAACAGGATACTAGATAGGCCATTGGCCTGATCCAGCAGGCTCTTCTTGTCTTGTGCCTGAGAAGTGTCACCATTAATAGAAGTGCCAATTGTAAAGAATAAGAGAATGCAATGAACATTGTTGATAATAGAGAATAAATTAATACATTTCTAAAAACTGCAAAAATCTGCATTAAGTTAATGCTGTTTTAAATATCGGCTGCCTAGCAATTCTTCAAACTTTAAGAGAGTCATAGAATTATAGAGTTGAAAGGGACCACAAGCATGATCTGCAATGCAGAAATCTTTTGCCCAATGTGGGGCTCAAACCCACAAACCTCAGATTAAAAGTCTCATGCTCTACTGACTGAGCTACAGAGATGGGGCAAGCCACATATTTATTTTGGCTATTCCTACACACTCTCTTGAGCAGCAACTGCCAATTCCCTATCAGCTTAGGCTCCTCTAAGAGTAGAGCAGCTTTTATCATTTAGTGCCCTTCCCTTGTAAAAAAGAAGAAAAAAGGTGTTACACTTACTGTACTTATCATAACCTCACATGCTTGTGATAAATCCTGAAAATTAATATACTATATCCTACAGATCACAGAATGAATCTGTCCCACACTTTGTGGAAATTGCAGGTTTTGGAACTCTGCCAGTTAGCCAAAGACTAATGTCTTAATGATAATTGTTAATGAAATGAGAGGATTTAGCAATAAATTTTCCGAATTAAATACACCAGAAATCTATTTTGACACCAGAAACTGTTTTTCTATGGCAGCTGCAAGTTTAGTATGTGCAGGATACATGAACCAAGAGAAACAGAATAGCTGGGGTGATGAGGTGGTCACATGCACAGACCTATATTCTAACTGCATCTTCAATTCCCTGCTTATTAACTCTTAAGCTTTCGGGTCAGACTAGCCATGATATTTGTCATGTGACCGGTCCTTGTGTGCTTGCTTTTTCTTTACAAAATACCAGCAATGAGGGGGTCATTTGTATTGGAACTGTAGAATGTAGCATAACTTTAACTCTTTGACCCTGTCAGGACCCTGTCCTGATCCAGAACACACACACACACACACACACACACACACACGGGTATTTGCCTCAGGAGGAATTGCCTTTTACCGCAATTCAGATAGCAGCCATGGGTGCCCCTGAGATGAATCAGGGAGCAGAGAGTTAAAAAAAACACCCCTCCCTCCATGCCTTATCCTGTTCCATTACTTTATTGCCTTCTCCTTTCTCTGTGTGGCCCCTGCACCACTGCGGGGGGGGGGGAGGAGGGGAGTTCCTTGAACCCTCTAAAGCAGGTTGGGACAGCGTGGAGGGTGTTGGGACAGGAGAAGGACGGAAGTTCCATTGTGCAGGCAGAAGATGATGGGACAATGGGACAATTTCATTTGATACAGTCACATGAATGGAGTTTCTATGGCCCTAGATATATTCAATTTTTTTGAGATCTGTGTAGGTCAGAGGAAGCAGCATGCTATAGTATAGCCGCAACTGAGATTATATTATTGATTGGATTTATATCCCACTTTGTATCCAAGGAGCTCAAAGTGACTAGATGGTGTTTATCTGATTTTACTGCTGCCCTATTATGAGGGAATATGGAAGTGATCATGGCCTAAGTGCCTTGGGTCAGGGGTTGAGAAAAGAATAAAATTGTTTTTGGTACTTTCTAAAATCAAATCAAATGCTGATCAAACAATGTGGTAAAATTTACTTCCTGGTTTAGTAAAATTAAAACATACGATGCCAAATAGATCACTGTTATTGTTGTAAGTAGTTTTCTAAAAGATGCATTACATCTTATTTGCTCTCTAGATAACCTGCCACCAATATCGGGTAGCAGTATAGATCTGAGCTTGAAAAACCGGCCATCCCCATCATTTCTCTTTAGGCTCTGGATCAGACTTGCGTATCTATAATATTGTGTAGGGAGCAAAATAATTGAGAACTACACTGGCAATGTGTTCCGCAAATTTGGGCAGAGTGCCTGCCAGTGAGCTCTGAGCTTTGCAGCCTTATATCTAAAGCAGCCCACCATTGGGAATATAAAATCAAAGCAGAAAAATTGAGCATTTAATGGTCTACCATTATTGCTGAAATCACAATGACAGGCCATGATCTTCCAAGTACAATTTTGATCCTCAAATGTAGTAACAGAAATTACAGCGTTTCATACCCTGACTACATTATAGGAAATAAAACATCTGTCTAAATATTAGATATATAAAAATCCTCAAAATAAAGATATTTAAGAATATCTTGTGCAGAGCACCTTTCTACCTGCTTGCTTAGTATAATGCAGTCATTATGGCAATAAATGTTTCTAATAAAGTACGAAAATGGATTGTTTGCTTTGCTGCTTGTATGAACTCTCATTTCTCTTTTTATTATATTGAATCTGACATTTGCTTACCCTTTATCAGTGGAATATTTAATCAACTGCAATCTGTAAGAAGCAAGAGGAATTTCTATTTTATTTAAAACCTGTCCCACATGGAGAGAGAGAAAGACTAGGGAATAAGTCGTGCACCGTATGTAAGTGTGAAGAGTGTTACAGTTACAATCTTGAATATTTATCTAGTCTGCAAAATATATTATAAACATGTACAATAGTATATGTGTCTCTTCCAATTGTTTAATTCAATACTGAAAAGATGTAATATTTTAATGTACTCCCTATTTCCACTTTTTATGAAGGGGGGGGAGACAGTAAGATAAATTCATATCAAACTAGCTTTCCTTTATTGAGTATAGTAAGGAGACATTGTCCACAAATAGATGGGGGTTGTCAGTGTTTTGAAACCATTGGTTATTTATGGCCTTTTCACTGAATGCAGTCATAATTTATTTTTTTGCTATGGTTTTTGCTGTTGCAGAACTTATGATGTTTCATCATCTTGCATATTTATGGGAAGTAATCGTTAATGTTATAGATCTCAACATTAGAAAGGACTTGTATTGGGAAGGGGGAATTACGTATGTTTTTTATTTCACAATTTCTACTTTCGATGCACAGTGATAGGCAGGAAGGCTATTATGGAGAATTTCTTTCCATTTAGGAAAAAAAAAAACAAAAGCAAGAAAAAACACAGTTGTCATCTGTATTGTAATTTCATTTTGGGGCTTATTTGACCAAAATGCTCTGTTGAAACAGTCTGCGTTTCCTCTTTTCCTGTATTTTGGTTGATCCCTTCTTTTAGACAATCTAGTGACAAGTGCTAGTTATCTGGAAGAACATGGTTTTCAAACCAGTGCAGTATGATTTATGGTTCTTGTTTCACAGAAAGTATCACAAGCTCGCAGAAGTGAAAGCTTCCAAATAGGCATCTAAGTTTTGTAATAAATGCAGCTAACAACATGCCTGAAAATATATAGGAAACAGACTGAGCGATGTCTTATTATACAGTGGATAGTTTGATTTGGTCTGCTTTTGATTAGATATTTGGCCTGCATCTGTTTCAAATTTCAAACCCATTCAGTTGCTTAAATGTTCCTACAAGCCAGAGTTTACTGCACATTATTGTTAGCTAATAATTCTTGCAGGCTTTTATATATATTTATTTATGTGACTAAAAATCCATGCCTTTGCAATGTGATCAACTCTGATACCAGAGCGCTAGGGAGGGGCACTCAGAGGCAGCAGAGGCCACTTCTGGGGAATATGGAAATTCGTGAGAGCGCAATACGTAATCTGTCTCAGAAATTTATCGCCAGAGAGGGTCACTGATGCAAAAACACTGATATATTGAAAAACACTTGTGCACATATTCTCATTGTTTCCCATGGCTGCTGCTTCAGTATCATTTCCCCATGTTCCTTCCTGCATTAGTCCCATTGGTGATCCTGCCCTATCCTGTATCACACAGTGAATGGGATGATGTTGCAACACTATGTAGCCAAGCATATTTGACCATGGGATGACATCACTGAGGGCAAGTGAGGGCAGTTGAAAGTGAAGGCAATGTAAATGGATATGCAAATACTTCGTAATGCATTCTGGAAAATCACTGAAAATGTATATTTTCTAGTTGTTCTCAACTTGAATAAATTGTACGACTTTGAAAACTAAATGTGTGTCTTTGAAAATGATATGAGCTCACACTCGTTTTGTAATTATCATTGTACCTGCATATACATTAGAGGAAATAGGACCAGAGGTTTGGTATCTACACAAGCATATACTTTAAAACCATTTTACTGGATGATGAGAGTACTTCACAACTTTCAGGTTGTGTACAATTCTGGAAGTGACTTCCTTCTTGATGCTATTGTGGCACTAAGTCCACAACAGCATCAAGTCCAACATGAGTAGGTTGTTGGAGAAGTGCCCTTTACCCAAGAATGCCTCGGGGTGTTTACTACTGGTATTCATCCTAATCTATTTAGCTGCTCACACTATATGACATTTGGAATCAAACCACTTTAAGTCAGTCAGAGAAGGGGCAGTATGGACTAGGTGAAAAAGGATGCACCAAATGCCAACTGAGGAAAACTATACATAAACTGCCCCCACCCACTCAGCTCACCAAAGCAAGATCAGTACAGCCCTTACTGTCCAATGGGCACTACCAAAGGCAAAGAGGAAGTGATTGGTCAGTGCTACATGCCCCTCCCCCTCATGTGATTGGCCTGCTGGGCTGAAGAGCACTCCATGAGAGCCAGTGTGGTGTAGTGGTTCAGAGTGGTGGACTCGTAATCTGGTGAACCGGGTTTGATTCCCTGCTCCTCCACATGCAGCTGCTGGGTGACCTTGGGCCAGTCACACTTCTCTGAAGTCTCTCAGCCCTACTCATCTCACAGAGTGTTTGTTGTGGGGGAGGAAGGGAAAGGAGATTGTTAGCTGCTTTGAGACTCCTTAGGGTAGTGATAAAGCGGGATATCAAATCCAAACTCTTCTTCTTCTTCCATTACCCTCAATTGCTTGAGAGGAAATCTCTCAAACTTCCTCCTCTAACATGGTAGGCCAACCTCATTCCTGTCCTAAGAACAAGATTGGCCTTGTGTCCCTCATTTTTCTCCTCTCTATGTATACTATCAAATCACTTCCCTTCCGTTCAGCATTCAGAGACTCATCTGTATAATTGTGCTGCTGTTATTGAGACTAAACATTGGTGAAGGCACATGTGCACATGCTTGCAAATGCTCCATATCTAAAATCCATGTGACAGTTGATGGTTTGGTAAGGCATCAAGACTTAGGAGGAACTTTGGGATGGGTGTGTGCCGGGGAAACAAATAAACAGGGAAAGCCTTGGCATCTTGAAGGTGCTTTGTGATATTGGACTATCAGCAGCACACCGAGCCTTTCACCTCTAGGTAACTGACTTGAATCTAGCTCTGGAAGGTAATGGCTCCCAGAAGAGAA